GTCACGAAATATATTCTGTCATAATTCACCGTCAATCCAAGCTGTCGCAATGTTTCATCGATCTCAAAGATCTTTTTGTAACAAACTTTGAATTTCTACAAATGTCAATTTATAATAAGACAATATTATAATTTATATACCGACGCATAGTTTTATTCTAAAATTGTCTTGTATAGTTTGTGTACCGCAAACGCGGTATAATAAACTTACAAAATCTCGTACATTATTTTATTCGCTCACCTTTGTATGCCACCAGCCTAGCAACATCTTGATTATCACAGATACAATAACGATGTACGTCATTAATTGGTACACGACATATTCCAGTTTCATCAGTCTAATGTTCGCATAATATTCTTTTTCCACGCGCAAGTGGCCACCACAATATATGCCGTAAATAAGCAAGAGATAAATCAGGCTGAGTACAGGTCTTGGATGACTACGAGGATATTCAAAAACACGAAGTCCCAATACATAGTTGAGAGTTGTCATCGGCGCTATCGCCTCGATAAAATATTTTGGACGTGCAAATTGTAGCTTCATCTCGTCAGATCTCTCTCTATCGACCGATATTCCTTGATTGTCATTTACTCCAATAAAGTATCTTTGTTTTTAGTTTTCAGCTGATCAAAGATGATATTCAAAATCAGGTCGATGTAATATTTAAAAGTGAAGTAGTCGTATCTTCCTCGCAGTTTCTTGCCGATTTCTTGACGGTGCCGAATATTTTACAGACATTCAACCGATAAGTTGCTTATTCGTTTCCATGCATGTTTCATGCGTTAATTCCAGCATTAATCACACTTGTCTCTCGTCTTTCTCGATACATGCACTAGATTAACGTGTAAATATCACGCAACGTGCTATATTTCGTGAGAATGGTTGATGACTATGTCAGGACATTGACGCGATTCACTGTCTTTTCTCGCTGTACTCCTGCTTTCGTTTTCGTGTAGTTCACAAGCCGATGATCCACCTTCGTCGATGAACAAAGGAGCATACTTGAGCTCATAAGCGATTATTATAAAGAACGCGGGTGTGTTAGATGAACGTGCGCAAACGAGCCCTGCGGTGGCCTTTGAAGCGATCATATATGTATAAACTATATCTATAAACAGAATCAACATAGCCCGGGAAGCAATGAGTAATTTCAGTAATTTGTTGCACAAGGGTGCGCGCAGGTATCGCTTTTTATTACCTTAATGCGCGAGTAGCGTTATAAGATATCATTCGAGATCCCACGACAATTAATACACACTTTATGTGTTGGAGAAAGATAATTGCTGGCGGGAAGATCGCGCATAATCTCGTTGCTGAATATGCAGATGCTGCACGAGGGGTACAGATAAAGATTATGAACCAATAAACTACATAGTAATGTATTTGTTATATATAACAATCCAAAACAAATCCGAAAACATACCAAAGAAACGTACGGCTAGAATGTGTAATTTTTGTATGCAAAACATTGCAACTTTTATGTAAAAACTTTTATGCTCCCCAGAGGAGAATTTCTTACGTTATTTTGAGCTATTTCCGGAAAATAATTGAGTAATACAAAGGCGGACTTTGAAGGAAAATCGAAAGATTGCGATAAATTAAAAACAAGCGTGAGGATTGCTCGTAATTTATTTCTTGTCGAATATGCAATACAGTCACGACTCATAATCGATTATTAATTATACGTCACGCTTATTAAACATCGCAGAGAGTGTCAATGCCGTCCGGGGTGCGCGTATATTAAGCGTTAAATTTCTCTGCAATATTTAAGAAACGTTTTGTTAATAATAACGGCTTAACTATCTTACTTTGTGGAGGAACAAAGAAATCGCGTCTCGTGAAATCTGTTTACGAACACGCGCGCGACGAATTAACGTTTTTAATTATACACATCGCACAGAATATTTTGTAGGAATTGTTATAAAATCATTGAGAAAAGGACCGAATTTTTATTCATTACGGCCGATATATTTATTTATAAAACTGATAATTATAAAAGAGGCATTAATAGAATTAATAAATCACCTGACTATATTCGCTTCATCGATCGCTTCTTAATTGGCTTGTCCGCGAAACAAACACACACGAAAAATAAACTCTTTCCGAGTGATCATTTACTTATATTATCACTGGAATTTGTTCTTTTTATACTGCTTATCTCTTTACATATTTGATGAAAGATAATCTTGCGTGAGAGCGTTGTCTGTAAAATTCTGACCTTTGCCAAAATAAAGGAATCTAAACGGCTTAGCTAATTAATTTAAGCTAATTAATTCTGATCTTCAAAAAATAAATTAAAAAATTCTGTCAAAGTGTCACAATTGTGTCACTTTTTGTTAATCTTAATTGTTAAAAAATAATTAAAAATATAATAAAGATGGAATAATGAACCTAAAATTTAAAAATTATTTTAAAGATTAGGTATTCAATTTTACGAAAATAAGTTTCTTCCGTTTTAATTCATCTGTGTTTTTCCATGACGGAAAAGCCAGTTTAGTTCGCAAGGACAATCAATTTCACGATCTTCGAGCGATCAAATCACATAACCGCATTTGCAGAGAACCGGGAAACAAGAGGCGCAAGGCGACGATCCGTGAAGTCTTCATCGGCAATTCCATTCTTTTTCACTTAAGCTCGTATGCCGTATAATCGACAACGATCGGATACGCGGCCGAACGACGACTGTCGAGAGTAGTGGGAGAATTTGAAGGTACGCAGTTTTTATTTTTACGACACTTTGCGACATTTGTTTGATATACATTATTAATTCTCTCATAACTTAAATAATTCAATAAGATAATTATTTAATATCTACAATTGTTTAAAAATGTGAATATTGTATAGCATTGTTCGATTCCAGCGTATCGCTTAATTGTAGCATGATAACCAAGTAAGTCGTTACCTGTTTTAAAATCTATAAACAAGAAAAGTATATATATGATTATAACATAATCAGGATAAAATTATTAAAAAAATAATTAATATAAAAAAATGTGAAAAGAACATTATTGAATCTTTTTAATCACACAAATTTTATTTTAAAATCATTGATATAACGGCAACCACTCATGTATGATATATAACAATTTGATACAAACCGTGGTTAAGACACGATTGTCCAGCGTAAGACCGAACGCGGAGAATATCACCGGACTTTGCAAAATTTGAATACCAAACTGTTGAATCTGAAATAATTGCGCGCAATAATTATAATACATTAAGTATAATACATTAACGTAATAACAATACATTATGTTTAATGTATTGTAACAAACAAACCTCCTCCTGCATGTCAGTATCTGCGTCACAACCATAAATTGCGTGAATAATTTCGATGGTTTTGTTTCCCTACAAGTAAATGTTAATCCTATCAAAATCTTTAATTCCATCGTCTAATGTCCATTTTTACTAATCCCGATTAACTTTGATCTCTGTAACTTACTTTTTATTCTTATTTAGTTTTAGGAATTAAAAAAAGATAAAAAGTAAATTAAACCGAGATCAAAGTTAATCCGCATTGGTAGAAATGGACGATAAATTAGACGATGATGGAGATAAATTACCTCATCAGCCGCATACTTGCAAACGCGACTCAGAGCAACGGCTTTCACAGTGTGAAGAAAACACAATATCAACATCACAGATGTTTGCCCTGCTAAACCTTTGACTATGTGTTGGTTCATAATGTACCGAATGTACAAATTATAAAGAGCTCCAGTGAGAAACATGACAATCACTCCCATCTCCAAAGCTGTCTGTACTCCGAGAATGGTGCATACTATTTTCGATACTTTACACAACTCCAGGTGCACCTGTCTTAAAAACACTTAAAGATAAATATTTGTATTCAAAGAAAAAGCTCTCTTTTATTTTTGAAAACATTTTTAAAGATCCAACTCAAATATTTTAAGCATATTGCAAGAAATAATAAATTTTAAATATTGGATAACAACAAAATTGATAAACTTTGAATGCAATTTTTACTTGAAAATAATGCTAACTGAATGTAATCTATATGCTTCAAATATATTTTTTGTAGAGTTTATTTCGTGAAAATGTATACTTCATAATTCTCTGTACTCACCTGATTATTTGTAACATATGTCTACGTTTCTGACATGTTGTCATCGGATTTGGATTGTGTCGTTGAGATTGATTCCGGAGTACATTTTGAAATTGTTGGTCGAGCTGAGATGGAACGTGAGATTCAATCTGAAATACGGCCGAATCTTGCTTCTTTGACATAAAAACATTTAATCGAGATTGCACCCGCCGACGCCATCGAAGTAACGTCTTCGTGGAGAGAATTTGCTTCTGTTGCTCGGTATCCATAATTTCAGCAAAATCTTTTATTTCGAAAATACCCAGTTTTATCTCTTCCACTGATAAGTTTGTTAAGCTTTCGCACAAGAGTTTGTTGATCAATCCGAATTTCATTTGTAAGCATCTGCATTATTGTGTGACAGCATGTTAGATATTATAATATGTATTTCAAAAATCTAATATCTAATATAAACCTAGTATAGTTTCTGAATTATTTAGAAAATCAATTTTGCGACATACCTCGCAAATATGTAGAATTCGAAGATATTAATAGAATTGACAGTGAACGAATACAAATATACCGCCATAAGATAAAGTGAGGTAAATAAGTCCGTGCGTTTCTGCAAGTGGAGGAAAACCAAGGTACACGCAATGCTGGCGAATATAATCCAAGCGGTTATGACTCCGATTGTCACGAAATATATTCTGTCATAATTCACCGTCAATCCAAGCTGTCG